ATTATTTTATACTAACCTCTAAACTAGAGAATTAAAATATAATAGTTTATTAATTATTAATTAACTTTAAATATTACTTATAATACTCTAAAAGCCTAGATTACAATCTTCTTATCTTTAACTATATATTATAAGTTTATAATTAACAGTAATATAGTTATATAGTAGTATTTCTTTCTTAACTATTATAACCTATCTTTTAACTTATATCTATTTATTAATATTCTTTATTTATTTTGCAAACTATAATAAATAAACTAAGGCAGATAATTAAAAGCTAATTTACTAATTTAAGCGTTACTTAGTAGACTATACCTATATATAATAAGTTTATATAACTTTCTACGTCCTCTTTTTATTTTCCTTATTATTACTATTTAAACTATAGCTAACCTATCCCTATTTACTATTATAGAGAAAGCTTCCCCCCTTACTTTATCTTTACGCTACTCTATATTAATAGCAGATTTCTTTAAAAGTATAAATAGTGTTACTCTATAAAGTTAAAGGGTTAGTCTAGCTCTAAGTTTTATACTAGTTACTTACTATTATCTTTTAGACCTAGCTCTCCTTATCCTTAACCCTTTATTCTTTTTAAGAGGGCTCTCTCTTTTTAGACTAGTTAGATAATAATTCCTCTAGTAACTACTTAGGCTCTAACTAGTCTTAACTAGAAGAGTCTAATCTTAATATTAATCTTATATACTAGAGTAATAGTATAGATAGGGATACTAATTCTCCTATCCCTATAACTAAGAATAACTATAAAAGATAATAATATATAGAATAAGAAATCTTATAATTATAACTTTAGTATAAGAGTAGCTAACCTAAGTCTTTACTAGCAGTATTTTTAAGTTCTTATAGATAGAGACCTTCCTCTATAACTACTATACTTTAAATAAGCTCTCCTAGTTTAACTTATAGAGATTAGTAATATATACCTCTACTAATATAATAAATACTAAGCTATAGGCCTTCTAGGACTTTACTAGCCTAACGTAAAAAACAGTTCTAAGCTAGGAATTATTTTACTCCTTAGTAACGCTGTACTTTAACCTAAAGGAGGTAAATAACTATAACTCTATAGTTAGGTATACCTTCTTAAGGATAAGTCTAGATAAATAAGAGTTATAAGGCCCCTTTAAGCTTACTAAAGCTAGTTTCTTCCTAAGT